GAGAGGGGTCAGAAGATCAGAAAGACGGAGAGGGGTCAGAAGAGGATCAGGGCTGATACTGGTTATGTGGACTTGGCTAGCTTATGTTGGCTGGTTGGAGCGAGGAAACTTTTTTTTTTTTTTAATTTTCTACGTACTTTACTTATTTTAATGTGGGTTGAATTTGATACTGATTATGTAGACTAGCTAGCTAGCTTGTGTTCGTTGGTTGCATTGAAAAAACTCGGGTGTTTTATTTTAATTTTGTTGATCAGGGCTGCCTGATTATGTGTTTAGTTAAAGAAATATATACTCTTATCATGTGAGCTTTTCTTTTTAATTCTCTGCTTTGTTGGAATTATGAATCCTGCATGTGTTTATTGAAGTAGAGTCATGTCGTTTCCATGTTGACGTAAACCTGCATAATTGGGGATTCCACGGTAGACGAAGAAGAAGAGCGAGAGAGATATATATAAAGAATGGGAAGTTTTCGTTATAAGCGACTTTAATACTAATCAATTCCAGATGAGTTAATCTTCTACACACGTAATATCCGCTCATCCGCCTGTTAAACCGCTGTCCAATCAGGACTTGTCATGCCAACCCACAGCAAGCACAAGTAGAGACTTTGGAACACATGTAAAAACACTGCTTGTCTCTGTTCGCTTTGAACTTTTACTCTTATGTTTTAACTTTGTTCGCCCTTCTGTCTTCAGTTGCAGAATGCTGTAAAATTGTTAGACTTGGGAGCTGTAAGGGGCACGAGGTTCCTTTGGCGGTACCCGATAGCTTGCATTTCCCTACTTTTTTACCTAGTGAGGCGCTTGCTTACCTGTTCAATCTCATTTTGAATTTACCGAAAACCTTTAACCTCCATCATTTAAGAATTTGCAGATATTTGTTCATCTCTTCTTGATGTATCTATTACACTGGCTCCAGGTATGTTTGCTCCTTTTAGACTGAATATCAACATCACAGTCATGGAATTCAAATTCTCGTTGTTTCTCATCTCAGGAAATCGCAGAAATGACCAACAACGTTTTTAGACCATAACAGATTCCATAAGGAATGGCAATGAATGGGGGGTTTTCGTTCTAACAACTTCTGATTTCTAAAAAAACAACTTTAATCTACAATCTTCACATATAATATCCGCTCGTCCGCCGGTTAAACCGGCGGAGATATCAAACGCATAGACATTAGAAAATCAAACTTGTTCTGTATTTCTATGGAGATAGAGAGGAGGAAACTCTAGTGGAACAAATTACATCCGCCGGTCCATTTCTAGTGGAACGAAGGCCCACCATTTTTTCGTTTGCACTTTCCGATCGTCTAAGAAGATGAAGAAGAACGTTAGTATAATAAAGCACAAAAAACAAACGAGGGGAGAAACTCTCATTGGCCAAGAGATCCTCTCAAGTGTGATCAGACAGGGACTTTGTCCATTAATTAGTAGTGGAGATGGTGAAAAGCATACAGAGATACACGAGATTTCTTGGTTTAAAGGCTCGGTGGATTACAAGGCGTAAAAGTTTCGCAACCTCAGGGAGCTTATTATCTCTTTGTCGACAAAGTATCTTTGTTCCTTAAAAATACTTAACCTCACGTTCAAATAAAAGTGCTATTAGACTCCATCACTCTTTGTAATAGTAACTGAGGTTCTATGGTCTATGGTCTATTATTGATGGTAATTCAAAACCATCTATACACACATGCCATGTGTGAAAAAACTTTGTGAATCAAAGTACAAGATTTTGTAAAAACAGAGATTCAATATCATGATTATTATAAAGTTTATAACCAAACATATCTAGTATCATCTTTATCATCACCAATAAAATAACCAAATATGAGAGGTGGTGAACGGAAGCCAACACCAATTCAAAAACTTTTACAATGCATTCAAAACAACTTTTGGAAGCAAAGACAAAAAATACATACCTAGCTAATACGTAGTATGAAGTTTTAAAGATGTTTCATTGGGCATTTCCCTAGTAGTAGACATATTGTAAATGAATTATACAGCTCAAATTCATCCAACTTTAAATTTCTAAGACAATAACTTGACTTCAGTGATTTCGAACAAAAGATAAAAAAGTGCAAGAATTAAAACAATTAAGGGATATAAAACACAAAAAATGGTGCACACATGCGAGTTCATCATTACTCCCAAATTACATGATTTTTAAAGCTTTCTTATTTTGCTTTTTTTTTTTCTCGTCATCAAGCCTAAGCTCTTAATAAGCTTGAACATATTAGTTATTCTGGAACTACATCAAATAAGAAGAAACCAAACATGAATATACTCTTTACCTCTTCAAGTATACTTTTATTTTTTCAGCTAAAACTCTGTCAATAATAGTTTGCTTCGGTTTTTCGAGACAGAAATTGAAATGCGTGCCGTTTGAGAAATTTATAAACGGCAGATCGAAAGGACAGGTTTTGGAAAAATAAGAATGCAAGTCGTTCGGGAACGTCAGGACCTAACGTATTGTCGTTTTATTTTTGAAAAAGCCTGCCGTTTTTTCCAACATCGTTTTATTGACCACTCTTCACATCGGATCAACCAGAAGTGGAGTGGAATAGTTTCTG